TTCCTGCTGCAAGGAAGAGAGAGATTTCATGACACAGGGATTCCTTGAACTCCTACAAATTAGGTAGCAACTGATGGTTTCTTGTCAGCCACTGCTATCCAACGGTACACTTCCCTATCAGGCATTCTCTACAACTACAAACCATAGGGAGAGAAATCAGGACCTCCTGCTTTTCCTTAGTGTGTTCCAGCCATCCCAAAATGCATGTCACTGTCCCCAGAAGCCTGTGGCTTGCAGGATTATGAAAGCGCCCTAGATTCCGTCCAGCCATCCTGGTGTGAAATGCACACCAATGCAATATCCCACCGTGAAAACACCCCTGTTGCAATGCTGCATCATGAGGGTAAGTTGGAATGCCATCTCACAACAGACACATTCAGTCTGGTCATTTAAAAAATTAACTGTGGACAGCATTAAACAAAAGTTAGAGCAAGCTGCAGCAGAATGTTACTAAAAATGTGACAATTAATTAAAAAAGGGAGTCTTGTGTTTTAATCCCATAGACAGTTTAGACTAATCTGTAGAATAACAAGGTAGAGGAAAAAATGCAGAGGGAGTAAGTATGAAAAATATTTCAGGGAAACTATCCTCTCTCTCAAGATTCAATTACAACAGCATGTTTAGAGATCTAGAATGCGGAGAATTTTCTTGTAATCTAACACCATTTATTATTCAGCAGTGCAAAGCACAACAAACAAACAGTCATATAGCATCAGATACTCAAAAGCTCTTTACCAACTACTACAAATCACTTCGCGTGGCACTGAAATGCAGTCACTTCTGAGCTGGAATGTGCTAGCTGCTTAACACGGCACAGCAAGATTACACAAGAGTTAGAGACAGGAACTGAAGAAGAATGTCATATGTAAATAAAAATGCAGAGAGGAATTTGAGGGACACAGAATGCCAATCGCTCAAGCTGGAATTCAGCCAGGACTTTGGGGCTAACATTCCTATCTTGAGAAACATGTCACAGGAGTGTTAGTGACCAGAAGTGGTTTTGCCTTCTCTAAAGGACAGTCCCAACAGTAGATAAGTATCCCTTAGCAAAATCCTGGGGCGTACATTTCATTCAAAGAGCGAAGAATGCTCTACATCCATTTACTGCAGTACTAGGGTTTTCCTTAAAGCTATCCTCTCGAATTATCCACAACACCATGCTGCTTAGTTTAGAATATATGAAATTGAGCTCCAAGCCAAGATGCATATGGCTGGCAAGCTGGAAATATGCCTGCAGGGGTGCTGCAGATCAGGATTGAAGAATGACTGGCAGATTTGGGGGGCATTCTCAGGAATGGACTAGCAGGAGGTGCTGAAAGTGATACCTATGGCAATGCAGCTGCTCAGAATCAGTAGCCTTTACAGGAACAGGTCAGTGGAATCCAAAGGCCAGTCTAGAAAGAGTCATACCTGAGGCCTCTTATATGCTTTCCGAACCCTTAAACCCAGCTTCTGTGCGAGCTCCTGACCAAGCTGTGTAACGCTCTCATCCTAGAGAAAATGTAGTTCAAGGACATTGTCATTTTAAAGCATGTGGTTTTATTTTCCTGCACATACAACCACCAACCAGAAACAGACCATAAGTTACAGCTACACAGACTGAATGACATGCTAATACTCTTTTTGGTATGCAAGACCAGAGGTAGCCAATTGCCCAACTCCACTCCATCAGGCACTTAGCCCTGCAAACACAGTCTCCTCTTCTCGTGGCTGAACATGCCCCATTGGTTTTTTAACTCCTTCATAGAAAACCTGACCCTAAACCTTTTATCATTTTTGTGGCTCTCTTTTGGACTTTCTCCAGTTTGTCCACATCTTTAGTAAATTCTGGCACCCAGGACTAAGGATGTTAAAATGCAGTTAACTGACTAGTTGTTGGGCACTTTCACATTCCTCCTTCAAAATGTACACAGACTCTGTTGCCTGCTTTGAAATGTACAAGAGTCCCCAGTGGGGGCTCTTGTGCATTTCAAAGCCATGGAGCCCGGGATCAGTGGGGGACTCACGGTCCTCTGCTGACCCTGGGCTCCAGGGCAGCTGCTCCTTTGAATCACACAGAGGCAGCCACTGCACAACTCATCCTCACTGTGGGATTTCCAAGTGACAGGTACTCCTTCCCCCACAACCTTTGCTGCCTTTATCTCATAGAGGAGCAAAGGGGGGTGGGAGATATTGACTAGTTGACTAGTAAAAAGACTATCAGATAAGGCTAAGCAGATGCTTATTGGATAGTCGACTAGTCTTTAACATTCCTACCCAGGACTGGACACGATACTGCACGAGGCCTCATCAGTGCCAAGCAGAGCAGGACAGTTACCTCCAGTGCCTTGCATTGGCACATCTGTTAATATCCCCATATTAAAGCCCCTTTCACAGACTGACACCTCCCCCCCCCCAAGAAACACTGATGCCTGAGGGCCTGAACTCTGCTCTTAGTAGATAAAACGATAGCCATTTAGCACACATTTACGGTGCTCTACTGAGGCTCCGGGCATTAGGAATAGGGTCCCTAAGAGTATGTCTATCCTAAAAATTTAGGTTGCCCTAAAGTCAATGCAGTATTTACTGCAGTGGTGCATGTCCACACTAACCTCCTTGGGTCAGTGGTGCACATCCTCATCAGGAGCACTTCTACCGACCTAAGAAGGGTAGAGAGAGGAGCTGAGAGCCTGTCCAGAGCCCCGCTGCCTCACAGGCTCCAAGAGGTAAGAGAGGGGAGAGAACATGCACCATCCAGGGCTTCTTACCTCCCCTTTCCCTGCAGAAAGGTAAAGCTACATGGGGCTTCTCACCTTTGGGTCCAGCTGTCCCAGCTTCTTCCTGCTCATTCCTGCCAGGAACCTTGTCAATTTCACAGATACAGCAAGGAGCCATGAAATTTACAAGGCTGCCAACATTCCCAGCCATTCCCACCTGGGCTTCTTGGCCTGGCTCCCAGTCAGAAGGAGGATCCATTCCTGCCCCAGCTCTTCAGGGGCGTGGAGGCAACTGGCCTCTAGTCTTTTTTGTCAGTTTCACAGTAGGAGCAGTGAAATTGACAAGACAGACAAAACTGAAGTAATTAATCAACACAAGTACCACCTCACCCTAACTACACCGACATACGCACACAGTGAGGCACTTACACTGATGGCAGCAAAGCTGTAGCGTAGACAATGACATAATTAGGTTGTAAAGTGCCTTACGCTAATTTAAATTGTGTAATGTAGATCAGGAGTGAGTCGCTCTCATCTATGTTTCCAGTTCCCATCCATCCTAGGATGGTAGTAACTGACTGTCACTGCCATCCGGTAGCTATTCCAACATCGACCTGAAGCCAGTTGATCTCAGCTCAGTTCCAACTAGGGCAGGCTTCCACATCACAAGTGGTATGGGATGGCTCTTTATTGGCAGCCTTAGCAGAGATGACTTGTGCTAAGGGGGACATGGAGTTCGCATTCCAAGAGATGCAATTACTGGGAACAGGTGTATCCTATTTAAGAGACAGCTTCTCTCTTCCTCTATCATCACCATTCATGCCACACTCGATTGGGGGAGAGGAAAAATATAAAAGTGCCTCAGAGCAGCTATGCATGTCAAACACTTACATGTGGGAGGGACAGCAAGCAGCGGCTATTACATTCATATGCCTCCTTGTGTCGCCCCAGCTCATTTAAGGAACGGGCTTTGCGGAAGAGGGCACGGATGTTCTCCTTCTCAAGTACCAAAGCCTTCTCACTGTCTTCCAATGCCTTCTCGTACACACCCTGCATGAGAGGAAGGAGACCATGTCACCAGCCAGTGGTGTTTGTCACACTCTGGAATCCACTTCCTTTCCCTTTGAAAGTTCTGTCCAACTATTTACTGCAGTTCACTGGGAACATATGCCATCAAAGCCCAGGAATATATTAGACAGAATTACATACATTCACACACACTGCACTATAAGAACATTCTAAAGGTTGCAGAGTCAAGCACGCAAAGGTTAAGAAATGCCAGAATTAAGGATGTTTGTGTGATCATAATTCAGCCCCTTCTGCGTATGCAGGAGTCTTTAATTACTTGATTCCATATTACTTTTCCAACAGGATCCCTGCACTAGTCAGTGTACAGAATGGCCCTGCTCTAAGGATGAATAAGGGATATGGTGTGAAGGGACCTATTATTTGTAGAATTCCTGCACCATATATTGGGGGAGTCAGAAAATGTGAAAAGGTTGGACCTCCCTGGTCCGGCACCCTTGAAACCTGACTGGTCCTGAATGAGAGAGTTTGCCAGACCAGGGAACCAGCCTTTGCCTGCCCCGACACCCAGGGAGTGTAACCAATGCCATTAACCAATAAGCATTAGCTTATCGGTTAATAGCTACACTCTAACATCCCTAGCTTCTATAAGCCTCTGTAGACGGAGATCCCCAGCCAGATTTACCTTTCGTGACTCGTTGTAGTCAGGACACTGCCATGATGCCTCACCTCCACTTACTAAGGGAGGAGGCCGAGGTGCATCATGGGACATATAGTCTGAATCTGCTGTACAGAGAACAAGACCCCTGAATTATCCTCCCATGAGGGACTACAACAGCATTTCAGAATCAACATATATCAGTTTTAGTTGAAATATTTCAAATTAAAAATTGTCCATAGAAACCCCCAACTCCAGACCCACCATGTTCACAACAGATCCAGATTAAATGTATTTTCTGAAGCATGGGGGGAAAGGATAATTTACAGAACAATGCTCCCAAGACTGCATTATTGTCACCTCTGAAGTAATTTTCTGAATGAATGGGGCAGTAAACAGCTCAGGGCTATTTACACTCTCTGCAAACTCAGGCATATATCACCACATTATTTATGCTTGGGTCACGTTTTGAAGGGTGATAGAAATGTAGCCGTGTTAGTCTGGTGTAGCTGAAACAAAATACAGGACTATGTAGCACTTTAAAGACTAACAAGATGGTTTATTAGATGATGAGCTTTCGTGGGCCAGACCCACTTCCTCAGATCAAATAGTGGAAATAGGGTACGTTTAGAAGTTAAAATAGGAAAATTACTTAGAGAAATTAGATGTTTTCAAGTCACCAGGGCCTGAAGAAATGCATCCTAAAATACACAAGGAGCGGACACAGAAGGTATTGGAGGTATCTGAGCCATTAGCTATCATCCATGATTTTTCAAAGAAGTTGGGAGAGATTCCAGAAGACTGGAAAAGGGCAAATATAGTTCCCATCTATAAAAAGGGAAATAAGATCCACCCAGGAAACTATAGACCAATCAGTTTAACTTCTGTGCCAGGAAAGATAATGAAACAAATAATTAAGGAATTCATCTGCAAACATCTGAAAGATAATAAGATGATAGGTAACAGCCAGTGCAGATCTGTAAAGAACAAATCATGTCAGACCAATCTGTTAGCTTTTTTTGATAGAATAACAAGTCTTGTGGATAAGGCAAAAGCGGTGGACGTGGTATACCTAGACCATGTGATATGGTCTCACATGACCATCTTATCAATAAACTAAAGAATACAACCTATATGAGGCTATTATATGGAGAGTGCATAACTGGTTGGATAACCATTCCCAGAGAGTAGTTATTAATGGTTCACAGTCATTAAAAGGGCATAACAAATGGGGTTCTACAGAGGTCTGTTTTGGGATCAGTTCTGTTCAATATCTTCATCAACAATTTTAAGATACTGGCATAGAGAGTATACTTATTAAATTTACAGATGATACCAAGCTGGGAGGGTTTGCAGGTGCTTTGGAAGATAGAGTCATAATTCAAAATGATCTGGACAAACTGGAAAAATGGTCTGAAGTAAATAGGATGAAGTTTAATAAAGTCAAATGCAGAGTACTCCACTTAGGAAGGAACAATCAGTTTTACACATACAGAATGGAAAGTGACTGTCTAGGCAGGAGCACTGCAGAAAGGGATCTAGGGCTCATAGTGGACCACAAGCTAAATATGAGTCAACAGTGTGACATAGTTGCAAATAAAGCAAACATCATTCTGGGATGCATTAACAGTAATTTGTGAGCAAGACATAAGAAGTAATTCTTCTGCTCTACTCTGAACTGATTAGGCCTCAATTGGAGTAGTGTGTTCAGTTCTGGGCACCACGTTTCAAGAAAGATTTGGAGAAGGTCCTGAAAAGAGCAACAGAGATGATTAAAGGTCTAGAAAACATGACCAATCAGGGAAGACTGAAAGAACTCGGTTTATTTAGTTTAGAAAAAAAGACTACTGAGAGGGGACATAATAGCCATTTTCTAAAAGGGTTTTTATAAGGAGGAGGGAGAAAAATTATTCACCTTGACCTCTGAGGATTCGACAAGAAGCATCGTGCTTAAATTGCAGCAGGGGAGGTTTAGGTTGGACATTAGGAAAAACTTCCTAACTATCAGGGTGGTTAAACACTGGAATAAATTGCCTAGGGAGGTTGTGGAATCTCCATCACTGGAGATATTTAAAAGCAGGTTGGATAGACATCTATCAGGGATGATCTAGATCTTACTTGGTCCTGCCCTAAGGGCAGGGGAATAGGCTTGATGAACTCTCGAGGTCACTTCCAGTTCTAGTATTTTATGATTCTATGGGATACTTGAAGGAAATGGCCCTTTATAGTTCAGAACTTCACACCACCTCAACCTCTCCCCCAGCACAGTGATCTGTATTAGTGCACTCTCAATCCTGCATGGGCACCCTTTCATGCTTTCTGTCTGTATCTTGTGACACCAATGTCATAATGGGAAAAGTTCAGAGTTGCCTGCATTCCTCTTCCCATGCCAGAGAGCAGGAGGAGGAGTAGACAAGATCAATTCAAACCCACATCCTATGCATGTTCATCTCTTGGGTCTCCTCATGTGCTGAGGTTTTTTGCGCAGCTCTTGGGAATGGCTCTGGTAGGTGCTCACCATGGCAAAGTAGCAAGCAGCCCGGTTGACGTGCAGCTTACAGAGGAGCTCCACTGGAATGATCACCTCGTCTGAGGCTGCATAGTCTGCCACATTCAGCCCTTCTACATACTGCACCAGTGCCAGCTTGAAGTCCTTTTCTCGGAACAGGTCATTCCCTTCTGAAAAAAGGTTCCGCACCAACTTCTGCAGAAAGGCCTGGGAGGAGAGGGGGAGAGAGAATATGAAGAGAGTGAAATGGAGATTCATAGATTCCATAGAACAGGTCATTGTGATCATCTAGTCAGACCTCCTGCATACCATAACCAGAAACTGTGAGGAGTTTCCCAACCCACCATCATCTTCACATGTGCTCTCAAGTCAAGTCCTGCTGTTAAGAAATTAACTCCCCACCCACAAATTCCATCTGTCTTCCAGTGAGGAGGCTAATGCAACCAAATCTCCTTCCCTCCCTTCACCCCAAATGCTCCCTCTCTTAGGGTATGACTAGACTGTGGGGGTTTTTGGGGATACCGGAGGCATCCTGAAAAAACTCTGCTGCCTCGTTCCATGAGGAAGAAGGGGGCTTTCAAAAGAGGAGGTTTTTCTGAAATTTGGCCCAGTCTAGACGAGCCAAATTTCAGAAAAGCCTCTTCTGACAAAAGTATCAGAGAAAGATATGCAAAATGCGGAGCACATTTTGCGTATCTTTTTCTGATAGCTCCTTGCAGTCTAGACGTACCCTTAGAGGTTAACTCCTCCCAGTATTCTTCCCCAAAGACCTTCCACTATAGATAAATAGCACTAGACCACTCCCACAAGGTAACCAGTCCCTCTTGGCTCTCAAATTCAAGGATGTTAGTTTATAACTTCTGTGCAACAGGACAACATGTATTGACCCCAAGCCACCATTATGTGGTTTCAAACGCCTTAAAAAAATCTTAAATTACCTCATAATCTTCTTGGCTTAAGGGTAATGTGGACCTGAGGAGAGAAGAGGACGGTTTCATGAAACAACATGCATCTCTTTCAGCTAATTGGCAGTCTTCCTGGCTTTGTGTTATGGATTTCACTATGCATTTTACCCACATTTATCCTGATTACTTGTGTTCCTTGTGTGTCAAGAGGGCCCAGTTAGAGATCAGTGCCCCACCAAGGTAGGCACCCGACACACACAAGAGATGGTCACTGCCCCAAAGAGTTTACAGTCTGACTAAATTTAGAAGACTGCATTTTCATGATTATTTCCTGTGCAAATCAACTGCTCTGAGAGCTGCATTCAGGCAGCTAGGTTTCAATCCAGATCAGAACAGATAATGTCATGATAAAATGTTTTTATAAAAATAACACCAATTTTGTAAAGAACTTGGCACCAGTGAACGATGTTGGGTTTGTAGTCCCAGAACGCTGAAATCCTCGGTTTAGCCACAGAATAGGTAGGGCCCAGAGCGCAGCAAGATTCTTCCACACTTCCCCTACCAAAGGGTCCAATCCCTCCCATGGAGGGAGCACCTCTAAGAAGGGAGATAGGAGCTCTGATTCCATAGGCAATCATTACTTGCTTCTTGTGTGGAGACCCCAGCCAGGGGGCCCAGTAGTGCTGGTGGCTAGTGTGGTGAGAACACGTCCCACAACAGGACTGAGACCACACCATGTCATACAGACTGCCAAACAGCAGTCTGAAATTAAGGACTTTGGGTCAGTCCCAAGATGGGACCAGACTAGAACAAGTGACCCAAAGATGAAAGACTCCATATCCCAAACCCAATCTTTAGATCAGCTAGTCACCTTCAAGAAAATGTCTTTTGTTTAAACACCACAAGATAAGCCATGTTCCCTCCCCTTGATCAACACAATGAAACCCAGATCCACAAGTGTTTCTTTTCCTTAGGGAAGAGAATGCCAGGCTCCCAAGGAAGTCCTTCATTTCCCCCAGCCCACCTTCGGAACACTACATCACAATCATCTTTTTAGCCTGATTCACTAGCCTGTCTTCTAGATCTCATCAGTTAATGAGCCTTAAAAATCAGCAAGAAAAAACTGTGTGGACTTCATGAATGAAGTGTGCATGTGGAGGGAAAAATCACCAGGCCACTAAAATTTGAAAGCGCTTCCTCCACAGTGACCCTTCGAACTAAGCCATTAAATGAAACTTACATTGCTCCAAGATCCAGGACATGCTATACGTACAGGAATACTACTTCACTTTTCTACAGCACTTTCCAGATGAAACACTTTACAAATATGAATTAAGCCTCTCAACTTCCGCTGTGAAGCACGTACTCAGTGGCAGAGTAGAGCCAAAATAGCACTGCGAGGCCAAAGCACCAGCGATGGTTTTAAAGTTCTCTCTCCCTCTTACAGATCAGTTTGTGGTATAAATACATACTATATACAGTAAACTTCTGATAATCCGGAACCTTTGGGACCTAGGTGATGCCAGATTATTGGATATGCCGGACTATCAGAAGGTACTATAAAATGGTTTTATATATACACACATACACAGGGCTCCACAAATAACACAATCTACTCGCCTGTGGCAAGTAGACTGCAACCCGGAAGAGCCGGGTTCAGGCGATCTGTGCATGCGCAGAATGATCTGCGCATCTGCAGATCGCCGGACTGCACGGCTGGCGAGCAGGGGTCGCCACAGTTCGGCGAGCCGTGTGTGTGTGTGTGTGTGTGTGTGTGTGTGTGTGTGTGTAGAGAGAAACACACACACACGGCTCGGCAAACAATGTAATCTACTTGCCCATGGCAAGTAGATTACACCCCGAAAGAGCCGGCGCAGAGCAATCTGCGCATGCGCAGAACCGCGCAGCTGGCGACAGTAGACTTCCGATAATCCAGAATCGATGGGACTTAAATGGTGTCGGATTATCAGATATGCCGGACTATCAGGAGGTACTATAAGCAGGTTATATATTTACTGTATACATTATATACTGTATATAAAGTGTTCTTAACCCTTTTTATTGTACATACTGTTTACAGTATACTGTAATGTTTTAGATTTTTTTAAGTTTTAATGTTTTAGCCTTTTTTACCCTTTTTGCTCAGTTCAGCTGCTGCCGCTGTTACTTTGTGACTCATTTTTTGCCGAAGCTCACTCACTAGGCTCTTGCCATTTTGATGCTGGACTATCAGGAGTGCCGGACTATTGGATGCCGGACTATGGGAGTTTTACTGTAAAGTGTTTTTAACCCTTTTTATTGTAGCACAAGCACTGTCCAGCATCACACAATGCCAGTGGCCGAATGACTCAGTCCCGTCCGGTTTTGTCCGGCAGTTTGCTGCTGCCTTGTGACTTGTTTTTTGCCTAAGCTCACTCACTAGGCTCTTGCCATTTTGATGCTGGACTATTGGGAGTGCCATACAATTAGATGCCAGGCTATTGGAGTTTTACTGTACTATTGAAGAACTAGCCTTCTCAGCTTTCCATTAACATACAGCAATCTGCTGTAGCCATTTTAAGTCACAAAACTGACCTTCAAAACCCCTCCACATAATTCTCATTACCACCTTATTTCTCTCTAAGGTCAGAATTCCAGTGTGTGTGAGAGAGAGTTTACAGCAGGGCTACTCAACACGCAACCCATGAGCCACATGCGGCCTGTTTGTTTGCGGCCCATGGTGCAGTTTGAGTTTACATGGGACTCAACATGCAACCCGCAGGTGGGATCCTTTGAACATGGCCTCCACTGGGAACACGCTCCACAATGGCGAGTCAATATAATGGTCTTCTGTTGATAGGTGTTTTCGTAGTTAAATTCCTGAACTGTCATTGCTCATTAAAAGTGTTGTCATATGGGTGGTAATTGGGTCAATTTTGCACTTTATTAATATCAGCAGAACTGACTTAAATGGGGCCTGTGTGTTATGCAGTCTTGCCTTAATCTTTGTATTCATGCCTGTCAGTGTGAAAGAAGCTATTTGCATATATATTTGCATGTATACTCATCCACACTTATGTTGTGGCCCTCAGCATGTGCTGTGAACATCACTGTAGGCCCGGGGATTCCAAAGTTGAGTAGCCCTGGTTTACAGCATTTGCTAACTGAACTGTTGGAGAAAGAATATAAAGCTGTATTCCATGAGGAAGCAGCTTAGACTCCTAGCAGCTTCTAAACACTGTACAAACATTCGTCTCAAAATCTAGCAGTCCACAGGTAGTCACATAAGGATGGTCTGGAAATTAAGTCACACGACTGGCAGTTAAGGGATCTGGATTCTTTTCCTGACATTTGGTAGTCACTTCACCTCATGTGTCTTGGTTTCCTCATCTCTCAAATGAAGATACTACTGCATACCTACCTCATAGAGACAGTAAAAGGCTTCACCAGTGCTTTGAAATCCGCAGATGTAAGGCTTTGAAGGAGTTCAGATGGTTAATATTATTATTATTACTACTGCTGCTACACTGGCTACTAAGGCTATGTCTACACTACAGAGTTTTTTTTTCAGAAAAACAGCTGTTTTGTGGAGCGTCCACAACTCAAGCATGTTTTTTTGAGTGGGGGGGATTGAAAAAACAGGGGGGTTTCCAGCTTAGGTATTCCTCATTCTATGAGGAAGAATGTCTTTTTGTGAAAGAGCTTTTTCGTAAAAAGGTGTGTGGGGACGGAGAAGAGGGTTTTTTTGTGCAGAAAGAGGAAAAAGCACAGGTGCCCAGGTGGCCATTCTGTTAAGGGCAATCAGAGCTTACTTTCGAGAGAGCATCCATGCAGTCTGGACACACACTTGCGCAAAAGCGCATTGCTTTTTCGATGCGCTTTTGCAGTGTGGATGCACTCTTGTGCAAGAAGTTTTTGCGGAAGATCTCTTTCGATACAAGCTTCTTGCACAAGAAGCCTGCCATGGGAACGGAAGTAGTGGGCAAAAGCAAGATGGGAACTGGCATGACATGTTTTAAGTTTGGATATCTTGCAGGACTAGCAACACTTGGAAGTATCAGGACAAAAATCTCAGGATCTTTCCAAGCATCAGCCTTGGACCAGTGAACAGAATGAAAATAAAAAGTCTTATTTCTCCTTATACCATAAATTGCAAGGACCATCTTCAAAGTCAAAAGAAAATAGCAGTCAACCTTCTCACTTACTGAATGAATTGAAGTCCCTTCTCTATTTCCTCTTTCCTTTTCTGTCTCTCCATTATAGCCTCTGCAGAGAGAAAAATAGAAAACCAGGTATTACAGATCTTAGTGTCAAAGCAGCAGTACTGCATGTAAGAGCATATAGCAGTAGCAAAATGTTCCAGAATGCCTTCTAGAGGCCTTGTCTATATCACCATACCCACCCGGTCACTCTACCTTTCACAACAACGTACTTACCACAGTGTCTTCCATGCAAAGGCTGCTCTCCCCTTGACTCCAGCTACTCTTCTCGTCCTAGTGGAGTATTGGAGTCGACGGGAGAGCACTTGGAGATTGATTTATTGCGTCTAGGCTAGGGATATTAAAATATGTTTACTGAAGTAAATGTGTAACTGCTGAAAGTGTCAGTGGTTACACATGGGGGAGGGAGCAGTAGGCTCCTACTTACCCCCTCTGCTGCCTCTCATGCAGGCAGCGCAGGAGGATGGGCAGGAGACAACTCAGAAGCATCAATGGTGGGGGGAGAAGGCAGCTCCATGGGAACCTATACACATGGGGAGTCGGCTCGTAAGTTTGCCCCTCCACACTGCTACCTCTCTGGCAGGCAGGCAGCACCACAGGAGCCAATACACATGAGGAGCTGCTCCCGCTGGTCCCCCACGCTGCTGCCTCTGTGTCAGGGGCAGCAGCGCAGGGAGGCAGGTGGCTCTGTGGGAGCTGGTACACGTGGAATGTGTACACCAGCTCCCACCTTCCCCCACATCAGAGACAGCAGCATGGGGGGGGGCTGCATGTAACCAGTTACACATTCACATCCCTAGTCTAGGCAGACGCAGTAAAGTGATCACGGGTGGATCGACTGCTACAGCATCAATCCACTGCATAGTGGAGACAAGGCCTGAAACACCAACATCTTTTATTTACCCACAACGTGGGAGGTAGTAGTGATGCAAACTCGCCACCCATGCATCTTCCCTTTCCTATATGCCACAATGCTGATTTGTAGGAGTCCACCCAATGGGGTGGAACAGGAATTCATTCCCACAGGGCCCATGCCAACAACAGTAGCATGTTGTCTGTGTGTCCAATGCAGGCATGGCATTCCCCAGGACCAGCCATGGCCTCAGGTTGATTCCATCCAGCCCCAAATGCACACGGAGGATGCCATTTTGAACAACAAAGTGGTGTCCCATGCACAGCACCATGCATGCAGTTCTCTGCATGCACCGTATATATGAGATCATGCCACATCAAGGATGCAATTTTGTATGCAAGAACAGAAATGCATAACTGACTAAAAATGCTATTGTGCACTATTGGCGAGCAGAGAAGCCAATTAGTGACAACGGTAATGTCACTAGTAACGGTGGTTGTTCACCAGAAAATTAATGACGACCTTTGCCTCCACTAATTTAATGTAGGCCAGCATTTCCCAAACTGCGGTCTGCGGCCTGGTACCAGTCCATGGAAAAAAAATACCAGGCCTTAGCATGGCTGCCGGGGCGTTCTGGGCTCCCAGATTTCCCGTGCGGCGCCGGGTCCCCCAAGCCCTGGGCCGGGCTGGATGGAGGATGCAGCTGGGATTGCTGGATGGCGGCAGTCTCCGTGCATCTCCCCGCCAGGGCTCGGAATAACGAGCAGGATCCCAGGCAGCACTTACTTCCTCGGTGGGTGGGTGGGTGAGCAAGTTTTGCCTGGTCCTAGCACCCTGCCACCTGCTAGCTCCTCCAGAGCAAAGGGGGTAGGGGCTGAGAGCTGCCAGCCCGTGCCTGGGGGCGGGCTCTCTGCACTGGCAGCACAACTCTTGGGCATTGCTGGGAGAGTGCAGGCCACTTGGCAAGGGTGGCGGTAGGCCCCGGGGAAAGGGCTTTGTCTCCTCGATGCGCACGCGTTTTCATGCGGCCAAGCCTGTGTCATTGGTTTTCCTGTCACGTGACACAGCAGCCTCGACTTGTTTCTGCACGGTCTAACAACATGCACGTCTTCTTAGGTTAACTGCTTAAGTTTTCTTTGTTTATTTTCAATTAAATACCCTCGTTTTCATCTTCAGTATGGATAAATGGCTGAAGAATGTGACTGGAAATACAACTAATAAATGTTCGAATGATGTGCAGCCTAATACAAGTGAGAATAAGAAGATAAAAACGCCTTGGACCCGCAATTATTCCGATGAGTATTTGAAATTTGGTTTTATAAGTGTTGGTAGTGATAATCACTTGCCATTATGTATAATCTGTCAAGCAGAACTATCCAATTAGTGCATGAAACCATCAAAACTGAAACGCCATTTGGAATGCAAACATCCAGAATACGCAAGTAAGCCCATAGATTTTTTCATAAATAAGAGAAATGAATCATCTTTTGCTAAAAAAAGAATGAAAAGTGCACTTTCTATGTGCTCTTCAAATGAAAACTTTGTGTTGGCTTATATGAAGTTTAAAACTAATAGCTGAGACAGATTATCCACATACTGTTGGCGAAAAGTTAATACTTCCTGCATTGCATATTATTACATCCCGTATTTATGGAGGAAAAAAAGGAAATCAGTTGGGTTCGCTGTCTTTACCAAACAATACAGTGACACATAGAATTGAAGATATGGTGACAAATATTGAAGAAACTCTCGTACGTCAAATACAGAATAGTCAGTTTTTTGCATTACAAGCGGGTGAAAGCACTGATATAGCTGAAACTGCCAATTTGATGTGTTGTTAGATATGATTACAAAAGCTCCGTTCAAGGAGATCTCTTATTTTGTAAGCCACTTCCAACAAGACCAACGGCTGCTGAAATTTTTAATCTAATCGATGATTTTATTATTCAAAGCGATATTGACTGGAAAAAATGTGTTGGACTGAGCAGTGATGGGGCTCGAGCAATGGCAGGGCCTCGCACTGGTCTTGTCCCATGGATTCGAGCTGTAGCGCCAGACTGTGCATGGGTGCACTGTAGTATTCACATCACAGAGAGGCACTAGCTGTGAAAACTATGCCATCACTTTTGAGTTCCACTCTTCAAGAATGTGTGAAGTTTATAAATTATATATAATCTCGTCCTTTGAATTCCAGAATCTTTACTGCTTTGTGCAACAAATTAGGAAGTGAACTTGAGCATCTCTTACTACACTGTAAGGTTCGCTGGCTGTCGAAAGGAAACATTTTGAAATGACTCTTTGAAATGAAGGATGAAGTTTTATTGTTCTTGGAGCGACACCCTTCGTCGGCAAGGTGTTATATTTACATTTAAAGACATATTTCATGAATTTGATTGGCTAATAATGGTGGCTTACTTATGTGACATATTTTGTCTTTTAATGACTTAAGTTACAAGGCACTAAAATTAATATTTTCAAAGTTCATGAAAAACTTCGTTTATGAGCACAGCAAGTTAACAAGAGAAACTTTAAATCTTTTTGTACTTTAACTGAATTACAAGAAAAATATGCTGAAACTAATATCTCAGATGCGATTTCTGCAGCAATCCAAGAACATCTTTTGAGGCTAACATCAAGCTTAAATGAATATTTTCCTTCAATTGATGCCAGTAAAATGTGCATTAAGAACCCGTTTACTGTTGACACTGAAAACGAAGAAATATTATAACCGAATGCATCAGAAGTGGATTCATTAATTGAACTTCCCTGTGACTCTACTTTAAAAGAGAACTTTGATAAACTCTCCTTGATTGATTTTTGGTTGAGCTGTAGAAATGAATATTCACATTTATCTGAGAAAGCAGTCAAATTCGTAATGCCTTTCATCACAACATATAAGTGTGAAACTAGTTTCTCGTCTTTGGTTTTATTAAAAAATAAATATAGAAATAGACTGAATGTTCAACCTGATTTGAGGACAAAACTTTCTTCTTTTGCTCCTGACATAAAGTTGCTATGTGACGCAAAACAACATCACCTTTCCCAATAGTTCTCTTTTTAGTTATTTAAAAGCTATAAAGTGCACACATAATAAATGACTTATATTCAACTCATTCAATTATAAATAAACAAACTTTACATCTGTTAAAATTCTACTGGTTAAATTATAATTAAGGTAATAACAATAAGTTAGGCAGTATTTTATATCAAGATTTATATTATGTACTATTACTATTGTGAATAAATAATAAACAGTGAAAATTTATTCATTTTTCATATGCACTTATATTTTTGGGCTGCAAAAAACAGTGCTGGGAAAAAAAAGGGTTCCAACTAAAGTAAAAAGTTTGGGAAACCCTGGTCTAGTCAGCTTTCTATCCATCTTACAGTCCATTTATCCAATCCATATTCCCTTAACTTGTTGGCAAGAATATTGTGGGTGACCATATCAAAAGCTTTGCTAAAGTTGGCACTGGGGGCTTTGGGAGGACCAGAAACAATTTATTTGCATATTCATTATTTGCTTAATGAATATGCAAATGAATGTTACCAGTCCTCCAAAAGCTCATGAATGGATTTACTGGGCCCTGGTGTCAAAAAGGTTGGGAACCCCTGATGTAGGCTACCAAGCAGCCAGATAATAAACTCTGATCACTACTTACCAGGTTAGATTTAAACCTGGTGTACGATGGGGGGGAGGGTTCAGATAACCCGGGGACACAGGTAAATTGTCTGCAGTATTTCACAGATGTAAGCACCACGGAAGCTGAGGAAATGATTTGTGCAGTACACATAAAAGTACAAGGATGTAACTGGATAAAGAGAATTTCAAGCTCACTATCAGAAAATGTTTCCTTACAATGACACCTGTTACGATAAAGGAATATTCTCCTAAAGAAAGTGGTGAAAGCCCCACCACTTAACATGGAATAGACAAAGACCAGGGGATGCTACTATAGAGAACAATCCTACATTGGTCAAGGTTGGAGAAGACCAGGTTGGTCACCCATTCTCTTTCACCTCTATTTTCCATGTCTCTATGGATGCAAACATGTTAATCACACAAAAGGATCAACATTCTCCCTACCTTAGATTTGAGAAGAGGGAGACCTAGAAGGCCTGTTCTCAACTGAAGTGGGCTAGGGTTGCCACTGAACAGATTATGGAAAAAAAAAAATCAGTCACTCCTCCAA